AGCTTGCCTCATAACCCTAGTTGAATTCTGAGCATGTCTCCTTTATCCCTTGTCTTCTTTCTCTTCCCTAACAACCTGGTTATAACAATCATAGTTAAAACCTAGAAGACCTGAGCAGGATTACAATGTTGTTATTCCAGTTTGGTGACATTGGCCAGAACGCGGTTTGGTATGAGACAGGTAAGAGCTTAAGGAGCTAAACTTGTGTTGTGCACAATCCAAAGTGCATCAGCCCTGCAATGCTTTTTACAAACAAACACAGGCTCTGACTTTAAAAAGCCTATGTACACTGCACATCCCAAGCAGCAGCTTTCAGGCCATTGTACTCGTTTCCTCTGCTAAGTATAGAAAAGTGGGCAAGACCAGACTGCTGTGAAGCAGACAAGTTTTCCTATCAACATCAGTAGGAATCCAGCCTTTAAGCATCTTATTGCTTCTCTCTTCTTTCTTGTGCAGCAACTGCAAGTACCAATAGCATTTTAATTTGAATTGGAATACTTAAAACTGTGATTTTTCAAGGACTGCTAACAACACCTACTTATCCTAAGCAATGGCTCCCTATGATGTGCATGTTTATTAATTGAAATTTCTCTTAATGTTCCTAGAAATGTTTCCTGATTGAAGTTTTCCTCAGAGCCAGGGGGAGTTTTCTAAGGAATCAAAAGGAACAAAAGCTGCATTTTCCTCATGCCGTGTTCTAGAGTCTAGCAAAGCACCTTCCAGCTTGGAGTATTTGAGCAAGCCCATTGAGACTAATAGGATTATTTCAAGCTGGTAAGGCTTCTGTATCTTGCTGAACCTTAAATGAGATGTGAAATGATTGAAAAGTCTCCAGAGAAAGCATGGGTTGATCAGGTGGAACTTAAGGAGCAGTCAGAACACAAAGTCCAGCCTGTATGGTAGGATCACATGAAGGAGGCATGTCACCCTCAGAGGAAGGCACGCTAGAAAGAACATGCATGTCAGCATGCAGGGTCACATCCCATGTAAGGGGATGGCTCTTTTTTTGAACCATGTAAAGTGCCTTCCAGAGAAAAGACAGCTCAGATGAATCTTCCATGCCATGCAACATAAAAAGCCTGTGAAATCTCTTTCACACCAGCTGCCCCATCTTCCATTCCATTCTCCTCATGTTGTTTTTTTTTCCAGTCTTCCCCTGTAAGGCACTTTTCCAGTTAAACTGTCCAAAACCACTGGAGAAACTCTCCAGAACAACTAAAATTGCAGATTTATAACATGCTTACCTCATACCAGCTAATCATAAAGAGCTGCTGTTCTTAAATAAAAGGAAGCCTGGAGCAACACAAGCACTAAGGCTCAGGCCCTGCAGTGCTACTCCCTGAGCTCTGATCCTGCCAACACTTCCTGCTATGCCTCAGCAAAAGCAGATGCACCTGTGAAGTCTTTGGTAAATGTCCTGGGACTAAAGAAGTTTTGTTGATGATTCATTAACACATTTCTCTTAAGTCAAGCCAAGAGCACAAGAAGTACTGTCCCTCAGACTGAGGTTCTCTGCACCCCCAGTGATCAGTATAAGGTCTGACATCACTCCCCATTCTGGTTTTCCAGAAAAAAGAAATCCCATATAGTGAACTTCTCATTCTATCTTTAGCATTTTCTCTATGCTCAGCTCTGCCAAGAAGGTGTTGGCAACCTAAATATCCAGCAGGACAATTAGCTAACTGGTGATATCCTTCTTAATTTAAGAATTCTATGCTTTTTTATGTAAATTCTAGTACTTTCAAGTGGGAATTAAAGCATCTTCTCAGACATTTTCATAAAGAGCAATGCGGGTATAAGAGTTACACACCATTTTATTCAGTACACTTAGGAAACATAATCTGATTCACTTAGCTTTGCCTTATCAACTTAAATAGGTTCTCATGTACCAGGTGTTGTCAGTATTTGAATACTGAAATTTCAAACTGTATACATTATCAATGCTTCTAGGAGCAGACCTAGCATTTCATAAAACAGAAGGAATAAGATTTGAAGGGAGTGGCACACTTGTTTTTAACAGTAATGAAAAACTGTATCAAGGAATCTAAAGCAGGTTACTGCTTCACTGAGTAAGAGAAGTAGCAAGCTAAGCTACATAGGTCACTATCCCAAATCATACTTCAACAGCCAAACATTTTGTAGAAAATGTTTTGTAGAAATTTTGTAGAAAATGTTTGGATGTTGTAGTTACAGATAAAATATACAGTACTCAAAAGCATAAATGAAACCTCCCCAACAAAACTTTCAATTGGGTTACGCTGGCTAAATCCCACATCTACTAAGTTTAACTTATGACAGGTGGAATTTCTCTCCAGTGGAAGAGAAAATTTCTCAGGAGTGGGCATCAGGCTTGCCATTGTACCAATGGAAAGAAGCTGGTGACTCTTGCTAGCACTTTTTGAAATTCTTAAGAGAAACTGGAGTGATTAGTTTCTCTTGGAGCTCAAGGAAAGCACATGTCCTCCATGATAACATTTCTAATGACAGGCAACCCGGTATTAGAACTCCACGTAGCAATATCACCTTTACTTTGCTTTTCTATGCAAAGATGTGTATCTCTTGTATCTCTCCTAAAAGATGCACCTTCTGCCTCCATGTTTAGTATTTCCAACTTTATTTTAGGATATCCAAGAAGTCCCGGTGAATTATTTTGAGAAATAAATGGCTGTACTCCATAGTTGGTTTCAGTGCAGTGTACAGTATATTTAATCCCATAATCTACACTTTTACTGGTAAGAAATGTTAAAGCCAAAGGCCAAGCCTCCTGTGAGTGAATCCCTTTAATATCTTTCAGCAGTGTTACGTAGTATTGGAATAATTTGGTGTTTGTGGAAGTTGCATGGAAAAAAGCCCACCCAAACAAGCTGTCCAGTGAGCAGTGAAACCATTGAAGGTGGGCATCCTGTACCTATAGGATGCATGTCCCATGATACTATACTTGTACCTTCCCCAGACCTCTTTTACTCTTGGACAGTCTTGCCTGGAAGCAGCTATGTGGCCAATCTAAAGCAAAACTCATGCAGATTATACTGTCCAGTACATGGAACCCAGACCCTGATCTAGCTATTCCTTAACAATTTCTCAGGGCTATATTTGGTGCCCTGCCCTTAGCAAGGGCACTAATCTGCACAGCTCACCTCTTCCAGCCACCAATTCTCATTAATCACATAGGAGCACAATGACTTTAAGTATCTCCTTTTCCAACTGGATTAGGAGATTTTAAAATTATTGAAGAATTGCCTTACCATGTAATTACCTGAGTCTCTCCCCTAGAAAAATTCCCCTGGAAGCTTTAAAAAAATCAGGACTAAAGAACAACCATCTCCTCCTTCAAAACAACCTATCCGCCCTTTTCCATCTATTAATAGATACACAAATGTACAAGCACGCACACATTAACTTCTAGTGGAATTTTTATTCTTCAGTCATACCTTTTCATTGCTGTTACAATATGAAACCTTCAATTTTTTTACGACTTAGAACACAGAAACTTTGAAAGTGAAAAACTATTTGCCTTTCCAGAGCAGCAAAATATATTGGAAGTGAGCAACAGGAAAAATAAGTCATGCACCTTGCAAATGATAACTGTCAGTTTTCTCTTATGGAAAACTAAAAGAAGTCCGAACAGAGTCAGTCAAGCAAGAAGATTTGTTGATTACAAGATTGCTTTTTTTTCAATTGGATTTAGGATTGGGGGAATAAAGTCCTGAGAGAGTGGGATGGGATAAAACTGATGACACTAAAACAGAAACAGAAAAAAAAAAAGAAAGGTAGGTGCATTGGCAGAGCAAATAAGATATGGAATAATTAAGTGAGAGAAAAATTAAAGAGAGACAGCTAGTCTGTGACAGAGATCCAGTCTTGGACACCACCTTGGAAGGATTAGGAAAAAAGGACACCAGAGGAGATGGTCCTCTGCCCCTAGTTCCTTGTCAGGAATCCATACAGGTGTCCCCCCATATTGGCTTTGACCTCCTCACAGGCCGTAAAAAGCCTCCAAAGGGGTATCTTCCACTAATACAGGAATGGAAGATCTGTACAATAGGTTACCTTCACTATCTCAAACCAGTTCCTTCAGTATTTTTTGCCCCTTCACTTTCCATGTGACATTTACTTTCCCTAAGTTAAAATGTGTCACCAAGCATTGCTGCTTCAGGAAACACAGCTGCTCTGTTCAGGTTCCCAGCAGTGCATAGGTCTAAGCCATGAAGAAGGAACAAGAATTTTGTTGCCAGCAACTCAAAATAAGTATCAATAATAAGCCCTACAGGGTAAAATTTTCCAAACCACCTACCTGTTTTAGGAGCTTAAGATCCATTTGTAGAAATCATTGAGGAGTGTAAATTCTACTGAAAAATCCTATTTGACTTCAGAATGTCTTTAAAAATTACTCTTTAATTACAGGTAGCATTTGAAATATGGGTTGTAGACTAGCATGGAAGCATGAGTGGGTATATAATAAAATTTTCCATAGCATCTCACCCATTTCTGTACTTCCATATATCCCTTCAGCTACTTATGTACAACCTTTATTTTTAAATCTTTTCCTCCATACTCCCCACTGGAAGAGGTGGGTCTGAGAATTATATCCCCTTTATCCTTGGAGTCAAATAGAATTTATCTGTACAGCAAACTTACTTAGGTTTGATTTAATTTTTGGGGGACTGTGTACATTGAAAGCAGACGTTTAAGAAACCCAAATAGAATAGTCTGACATGCCCATATATGACAACTGGCTCCTGGTAAAACAGTGTATCAGGTCCTTGCTTGTGCTCATTTGCAAAGATTGAAGAGACAGTGATGAGTTTCCAAAACACAGCATGTGGCTTTAAAGCCATGAAATCTACTCTCCTGCTGTATACTCAGAGTGCTGCAGGCATGCAGGTATGTCAATTATTTTCCCTGAGCAGCTTGTGAAAGAAACTGTAATCCCTGAAATGCTCTGACACTGTCTGTATCTAACACGGTTCTCGCTACAGAGGGGACAGGCATGAATGTACTATACATTACCTGCCTACACATTAGTTTATTTATAGCATAATTGGCAGAGTACAGCTATTGCATGAATAAAAATGAAGCTTATGCAAATCAGTTTCTCCTCCCAAACACAAAGATCTTTTTGCAGCCATTGAGGTATATGCAACACAATAGATTTAGTCAGTTGCGATGATTCACATGAGTTTGCAGGCAACAGGTCCCATCTGGGCATTGAGATGATAATATGGAAGATATTCTGAATGGCATATGCTAGGCCAATGGCAGAGACCCTTGTCCTATACTAAGCACCTGAGAATAAAAAAGCTAGATAAGTACCCAATGCCTACCCTACCCACCTGGGAACTAAGAAACATTTAAAACCTTGCTTACTCTAATGTATCCCCTTCATCTCTCCCTGAAACTTGATCTAAAAAGTTAAAAAAGACCCAAGCATTTTAGCAAAGGTCTATCAATACCTGCCCTATTTTAAAATTGTTTACCTTGCAATCTGAGGGCAAGCTGGTCACATATGTATATTACAATTAATGGCAGGAGTGGACAGGTAGTTAGACACAGCTGTGGGCTTCTCACTCCCTGACAAAGCAGACAAGTTATAGAAGGACAGCAACTACACCCTTAACAGTTTTTTTCAATAAACATAAACCATGCTATCCAGGGCCTGTGATTCTCATGTAGTTTATAAAAAGGATTTAGCTCATGCTTAAGCCTACATCTTTAATGTTGTCCCAAAGGCAAAGGGGTTGGTCACAATCATGAGTTTAATAAACAACAGAGGAAAACCAAAATGCGATGCCAAGATTTTCCGTAGTGTTCATAAAAATGCTCAGTTCTAGTGAATTTTCCTTCTCTTGCTAGAGCTGATAAAACATATAACAATGCACCATCAAAATGAGCAAATCTCCTTCCCTAACCAGTCTGGCATGTACATACAGCTGCACAGACAGATAGTGAGAAGGTTTAGACCCAGCTGGCAGTGTTAGGTCTTTCAGCTCTGTATCTCTATTAGATCATATACAAACAGCATTAGCTCCTAGCTGTGCCAATCCTTCAGGAATGCAATATTTGGATGCAGAAAGATTGGATAAATCTAAGCCTGGACATGGCTGGAGAAATGACAAAGAAAGAGGACATAATCAGGAGCCTGAACAACTTTTAAAGGCTTGCTTTTACTATGTATCATTAGCTATCATGTTTATCTCTTCTTTTACATGTGCCTGATCTACAGATCACTAGAAGCTGCTTTCTGAGCTCATCAATAAAATAAGCACTTCTCCTATGCACACAGGACCAAGACATCACACCCACCCTCAAAGAGATGCAAGAAAATCTGTTCCTTTATTATCTAAGATCAGTTTAAAAACAGAAACTTGTGTGATGCTTCTTTCTTCACACTGCTGGAAACAGCACCTTCCTACAGCAAATGTCCCCAGACCCAGGCCAGGAAAATCATTTGGGAAGAACTGAGTAGCCCTTTTTTGCCTTGGTATTTGAAAACAGGGTATGTAACCCTCAACAGTCTGTGCTCAAAATGCCTTAAATATGAAGCAATACAAGCATAATCTTTCTTCTTTTGGCTTGCTTGCTGTGGCTTCTCACTTAATATAGCAGCCAAAGGAAAGCAGCAGTCCTAGGGACAAGTCCTCCAAGGACTGCTGCTCTCTCAGGGGGACCACTTTGCCCACATGACTGAAGCACATGTGTTACCTAAACAGGCTGACACTAATTCTTCATGCGCTTGCTGTTTTTAGGATAGAGACTTGCTGTAAACCCAAGCATCTTCTTGGCAGTTTGCTAACATCTGTGAAACTCCCTGGTGAAATTGGCTAGGAGGATCATGAGCTTCAACATGCTCAAGCAAAACTAACAGTTCACTTCAGAGCGTTTTCAAACTAAGAATTAAGAGCTAATAAAACAGGCCATCCCCAAATCTAAATCTTTAAAAATTAGCTAAGACGGAGAGAAATAGAGAAGTGTACTCACATAGACCTTCCATCTGAATGGTCACAGAGTGTGATGGAGGAGAGTACAGACACATTGATAATGACCTGTTTTGCATTCAGCCTCAAACTGGAAATACTTAATTTTCTGACATGTTGGATAGAGCTATAAACAAAAGATAAATATGATTTAATAAGAAAATAGTTTTTTCAATATGAGATTTCTTCTAGTCCCAGACTCTGACATCTTCTGTGTAAAGAAAAGCCACAGTCCATACAATCGTACACACATGCTTGCACACATGTTGACACCTAGCACAGAACATGGGAAGCTTGGAAATCCTGATTTCAGGGATGATTTTTGCCTCCTTTAGTACAAGCCAATCAATCTGAGGATGATCAGGGGACTGGAGCACCTCCTGTGTAAGATAGGCTGGGAAAGTTGGGGCTGTTCAGCCTGGAGAAGAGAAGGCTGTGTGGAGACCTCATAGCAGCCTTCCAGTATCTGAAGGGGGCCTATAGGGATGCTGGGGATGGACTTCATTAGGGACTGTAGTGATAGGACAAGGGATAATGGGTTAAAACTTAAAGAGGGGAAGTTTAGATTGGATATAAGGAAGAAGTTCTTTACTGTGAGGGTGGTGAGGCACTGGAATGGGTTTCCCAGGGAAGTTGTGAATCCTCCATCCCTGGCAGTGTTCAAGGCCGGGTTGGACAGAGCCTTGGGTGACATGGTTTAGTGTGAGGTGCCCCTGCCCATTGCAGGGGGGTTGGAACTTGATGATCTTAAGGTCCTTTCCAACCCCAACTATTCTATGATTCTATGAATCTCAAATCTCCACACAGCCAGGACCACAGACCAGATCCAAAAGTATGATTGCTCATCAGACTGCAAAGTATTCCAAGCATCATGGAAACTTCTGTGATTGACTTCCACAGAATTGCTGAACCTGGAGGTGTCAACCACATTGTCAAGAAATGGAGAATGACAGTTTTGCGGATGTTTCGGTGTTTCTAAAACTGAATGCTGTGAGGCTTTGGGAAGGGATTCTCCTAACAAGTTCTAGATCTCATCTCAGAGAGTGTGCTGTGGTGACCAAGCAGTTTGCTTTCAGTTGTCTTCTACTGGCTGTGAAGAGGAGCCTTCTCAGCACAAAAGGCCTAGGAAGACTGACATGGCTTGGACTCAGTTCAAAGACTACAAGAGTACAGAGACTCAGCTGTCTCCTACATAGTCTTTCCAGATTGCAGAAAGGCATGTTCTGCAAACAGCATATGCGAAGCTGCTCATCTGCTGTTAAAGGGATTGTGTAAATAAGCAGTGAGCATCATTTCTCAGAGAAGCTGAGTACTAGAGCGGTGGGGAACTGTAGTGGGAGAGTAACTGTGTTGGGCCAAATTCCTCTTCTTGAATGACTGAGACCATGAATACTTTGTAATTTTCTTTAAATATTAAGTTAAAAAAAAATGAGAACCCAGATGCCTTAATAAATTGTTCTGTGTTCCTTCAACTAAACTGAGAGTAAAAGAGAGACAATGAAGCATCATTGTACTTTGCCATGCAATTGCAAACCAAACAAACAAAATTACTCTTTTGAAAGCCTTATCAACCTTTAAAGTTGTTTAAAGATTTTCATGGCATCTTTATCAAAACAATGTAATCAACAGAAGTTCTTTCTGACCCCAAACTTTGCACAGAGAATTCCTAGTTCCCAGGGAAAAGCCATGTCTGCCAAAAAAAAAAGCAACAGATGTCATCTACATAATGCACTAGGCCTGGTGTCTCTTTTCATTGCTTGCAAAATAGGATGGTCACTTTTTCCTAGGGTAGGCATTTGACAAAATAATTGTCACCAGCAATGTCCTTTATTTGCAGTCTTTAATATGACCAGATGCTACCTCTCATGCATTCCTGAAATATTGCACCCAGGAAGAACTTTCCAGTATGAAATCCCAGCTGGAGTTAATTCACACTGACTCTTGGTCCAAGTTATTTCATGAGTTTTCAGGCTTTTCAGTACAATACTCCATTGGGAATCCAGAACAGTATCTCCTAGGTAAGCAACCAGCTTTACTCAAACTGTTATTGGTCACTGGAACCCTGTGCATGCTGGCAGATAGCTGTATTTTAGGATAGGGAAGTTTCACTTATCATTGACTCCAGCAGGTCACTAGTAGCACAGCTTGATAGCCAAGGTTGAGGAAACAGCAAGACCACTTCAAAGGGGCCAAAAGAAGGGTTTCTAGAGAAATGCAGTGAAAGTGAATCAAAACAGAAGCCCTCAAACCAAACCTCACACTATTTGCAATAAGAACTAGCCCTTTATTCTGTACTGAAAGAATATGTACCAATCTACTGATCTGTAAATATACAGTAGCTTTTCTTAAAAAGAGAAAAAATAATCCTTTGTACTTACATGCTTCTAGCTGATCCCTACTCCTAGGGGATTAAACACATTTCTATCACAGCCACATGGGTTCACAATAAAAGGAATTTAACAATAATTTCACAATTAAGTTTTCCAGGTCAACAGTACAAGCAATCATAAAAGCAAGTGGTGTAAAACTGGAATTATACCCAATAAGCCAGTTATTAATAGGAGTAAACAGCTGTTTACAGCTGAAAAGCTGATTAAAGAGGTCAACAAAGATTCTTGTCCATCTTTCTCTTATTTTCACCTTACCTGAAAAATGCAGCCTTTCCTTCACATTTATACTTGTAAATGTCTTTCCTCATATTATTTGGAAGTTAAAAGACCTTACATGTCTAATATCATTCAAAAGTAGGATTTCTAAAATATATGTGCATATATATGTGTATATTTTCCCACTTAAATGGCAACCTTTGAATTAGCAACTTTCTCCTCTGGTGTAGCAAAATGCTCACAGAACACATTCATCTCTACTGAATCCATATTTAACCTACCAAGCCAAGAATTTTCACAGTAAGACTTGAACATAAACGATCTGAGGGGCTTCAAACATCCCTTATTTCATCTCTAAGCAAGAGGAGGTCTCTGCCTCGTTAGGATGCTGAGGCCTGTTTTGGGAAGCATTAGAAGACCCCTCTCCTAACATTTTGAAATGTCCCTATTGTACTTTTTTTGAGGTTTCATTCAGTTACTTCAAAAACCAAAAATCTTAAACTCTGCTGTGTTTGAAGATATCAACATTTTATACCACTGACCTTTCATTTCCTCCTCTTCTTAGTGAGTATGAAATGCTTCTCAATCAGATTTTAATTTACTTCCAACGTCATCTAGACTAACAGAATTAGGACTGCTGCCTTAAGTTGATATTCAAGCATGGAGCTATTTTAATAAATGTCAACGAGCAAATTAAATATTTGAATTTGGATGTTGGTCTCCAGAAGCAGAAAAGATTTAATGCTCATCTAAGGAAAAACATGATTAATATTCAGGTCAGATCCAACCAGCAAAAGCTGCTGAGTCTTCAGCGTTAACACATTCCTAGTGACTTTTGGAAGCGCTAGTCGTGAGATCTGTTTGCATATAAACATATGTGACAAAACTGACAAGTCAATCGTATATAATTTAAATATCTGCAGATTGCTTCAACATGGTTATCACTGAATTGGTGACATGGATGCTGTTGTTATGGGAGCTGGATATGTTTATGTAATGCAGGGGGCATTTGCTCCACCATGGTCAAAGCATGCACAAGGTTGCTTTGTAGTAGCCAAGTTCTATACTTCATTTGGCTATGACCAAATTCTCTTCAGGATGTTGAAGAAAACAAGACTTGACCTTAGTCTGCCCTTTGCTCCCCAGTATGGGCAGTGGTTTATAATAGGCTGGATATTTCTCCAGTAAATGCCACGTGACATGTTCTATCCAGCAGCTATCTTTGTCTCATGGTATTCCTGGATTACCTGGACCCTTTGACACCTGTCATTGCAGATCTAGGCTAGCTATGTACAGAAGCAGGGCCTGTCTTAGGGTTTCAGGTAGCCCACAGCTTGGTCAGAAGAGGAGCACCATGCTGCCGCAGCAGAATGCAGGTTCCAGGATCAGCTGCACTGGCCTGTGTTATCTGGTCCTCTTATCATGTACAACAATATGACACAGATGTGGGGCAGAAGGGACTAATATTGCCACATTCCAGCCAACATAGCAGAGGGGGTTCAGCAGGACACTGGCAGAGACAGGAATGCAGTCTTGATTTCCTCATTCCTGTCCAGAAGGCCAACATTTATCTAGGCAGAGCACCAGAAACAAAGTTTGGAAAGACATGAGTGGACAAACAGGGGACAGCAGGACACGGAAGGAAAGTATATTTGGGGAGGAGTTCAACACATCATGTTGTGCATACAAACCTCACTAAATGAACAGCCTCTACTACATTCTATTTTCCACCCCACATTAATCAGCAAGCTCCACAAAGTCAAGACAAAGAGATGTACATTTGATCAGATCCTTGATTATCATTGATAGAAGAGTACAAACAAATCACACAACCCTGAGACAAGATAAAACAAGGATGTGATTGGTATTGTAAACAAACAAATAAGAGACGGGTCGCTGCAGATGCAGAATTCCATTTGTGAAAAAGTTAACAAGTAAAAAGAAAGCACTCTCACCTAGAAACCTTCATGACCAAGACACATAAAGACAGTATTTGCATGTTAATAAATTGCAGTGTGAAAGCAAAAACCTAACGATAAAAGCTGAGCACAAGATGAGTACTGCCATCCAGAGTACCTCTGTGCAAGTTAAAGGACTTCACACACCACTACCCCTCACCCTGTGCATCTGTATTAATGGCCTGGGTCCTTACTTTTGATTAGTGCTGCTCCCAAGTAGTCAGTGGGGTGACATTGTGGGAAGTGACTGTGACAGAGAAAAAACACTCGGCAGTGCTGCAGCCACAGACAAGCCCTTAGGAAGTCTACTACTGAGAGAACAAAGACCAAAATAAATCCAAACCATGGCCAACACTTTTAATGAAAGATGAAAGAAAGATCCTCCCAGGAAAAGTGCTGTTCTGAATTCAACCTTGGTTATTAACATGATCTCCTTGAATCTCAGTCCCTGTAATTTACCATTCAAACAGAGAAGATGTATAGAAAGGAGAAGGGAATGCAAGCCTTTGCTTTCCATCCTCAGATAATCCTATCAATGTGTCATTGAACACAGTGCA